ACTCTCAGCTTCCCTGAAGTTCCTGTCCAGTACAAGATCACAAGGGACAGAGCAGTCTGCAGAAGCTGTCCATGTACTAGCTTGGGGAAGTTAGGAGGGAGGAAGGAAAGCAGAGGGATGGTTTGCATTGCTGTGTCTGTGTGTTTGTGGAGACACACAGCTTAAAGTGACATTAAACCCATCAGATTTTTTAACATAAACCAATACTGTAATGTGTGCCTTACTGTAATCCATGGTTGTTTCCCTTCTCTTTGCTGCTCTTCCTTTTAAATCCTCATGTCTTCTCATGCTTGGGGAGAACTTCCCTTTGCAGCTCAGGGCCTCTTCCTGTAGTGCTGGCTCAGGTTACAAACTTATACACAGACACCATGTAGGCATTCCTGAGACAAGGCAGTCCTGCCCAGCATGATAACAGATACATATTTAAAAGGAAGAGCAGCAAAGAGAAGGGAAACAACCATGGATTACAGTAAGGCACACATTACAGTATTGTTTTATGTTAAAAAATCTGAGGGTTTAATGTCACTTTAATATCACAGACCAGAGTGGTTCCATAGGACCCTGCAAAAAAAAAAAAAAAGAGCCACCCTAAAATAGGATATCAGGACCAGTGCTCAGAGGACCAGCTGATTCTTCAGGAAACTAAAACATTTAAACATCAAGGAGAGGCATCCATTGTAAGTGACTTTATTAGCATTTGAAAAAGCTCAAAAACCTTTTGAGTTTAATATCACTTTAATCAACACTTGGGCAGCAGTTGAGGACCTGTGTAAATCCTGGGATTACTATCCATAGGATGCGTCACACAAACCCAGTTATCGATTGAAAGGCAAAGACACACACATATACACACAGATACAGGTGCCTGTACTTCACCTCACCCAGCTCTGATTTACTATACACGGATGTGTGGTTTAAAAAGGGAAAGTGTTTGTGCTCTAACACTATACAAAATATCCATCCCATCTGGATTTCACCAAATATTTTTAATGAATGGCTGCACAATAGTACTCTTAGTACAATAGCTTAGATTAGTTTTCCTTTATTTAGGGAATTAAGAAGAGGGAAATCTTGATCTCCTGTTTTACCAAATGTCAGTGAAAATGCAGCATGCAGCCAAAATCTATCACTGCAGCACATTTCCCCAGCAGTTATATTATGTGGTGCTCAAATGTACACTGTAAACAAATTTTAAAAATATTTCACAATTAATTGATTACTAACTTTTATTTTGACACATTTTTTTAATTCATTCGTTCCAGTTCTAATTTTATTGACATCTCTACCTACACAGACTGTTGGGCAAAAAATGCTGCATGCACTACTTTTTGCAGATCGCACTGGACCGGAATGGAGACACTAATGTGCCACGCACGTTCGGGTGCCGGCGATCACACTGCAGACGGGGGGCGTGGCTGCGGTGCCATTGACTTCAATGCACCTCCACATCTGCACTGCTGTAGAGTCTGATTGGCTCAGAGAGCTGTCTGTTCTTTTTCCTACTCTAGGTGCCCATACACCATACAATTATTGTACAATGTTTTTTGTCCCGTCATCTAACCGTTGCACGATTTCCGCACAACTGCCACATCATGCACAGACCAATCTGGATTTCAATTATCTTTCTTTAGCAATACTGACTGAATTTTGTCGAACGACAGAACGGATTTTCGTTTGCGCATGTGCAGTGTTCATGTTGCAATTTATTTTGTATGAAAACGCCACTAATCCATCGATTTCCGTACGTTTTTCTAGCCTGACCGATTGTGGAAATTCCGCCAGTTGTACAGTAATTGTGATCTTTCACTTCCCATCAACTGGCCAATTATCGTACAAAACACCCGACTTAATTCGGAAATCGAATTATAATCGTAAGGTGTATGGGCACCTATAGGCTACATTCACACCTCTATTTTAGGTGAGTTTAGGGATTCCTGCAGCAGGAATTCCAAATTTGCCATTTACGAGCAGGAGCCGTCACCATTCAAATTAATCATTGTGCGACAGCGGCTGCATCAAAAAGCGACAGAACGCCGGTACACTGCATGTAATCATATGTGATACGATTATACATGCAGTTAGGAATCAATCACTATCCCTGGATGCATCCAGGGATAGTGGTGGATTCCCAACTGTATGTACAGGAATCGAAAGTTCGAACTTGTTGCAGGAAATAGCAAGTTCCTGATGCAGGAATCCCTAAACACACCTAAAGATATAGGTGTGAATGAAGCCTAAGTGTTACTTTGCAAGGAATTACAGGAGGCCGATATCAAGATAAACCCAGGTAAATACTAAAGATATTTAAATACTAAATACTATCAGTGTTATTACATGTAATTAGATCCATGTTCAGTTCACCTATTTTGAGAATGTTTTATGCTGATTCCCAATTTAAAATGTTTAAAAATTAAAATAATTTCAAGATTTATTAAACAATTATATGTAACTGCTATAACTTTTCTTCTATTTGTCCCTGCAACTTAGCGAGTTACATTTAACACTTTAACATGGTAAAAAGTGAAGTGCAAAATACCAATAAGGCAAAAACTAACATACACGATCCCCCATGACAACCAAAGACTTTTGTAGAATCTATCATCAATGGACTATTCCTGAGCTTTGCTCACCATTACAGCTGTGTATGGATGTCAAAACATAAGCCACTTTGATTTATCGTGTATCTTTGCAGAGTTTACAGAAAATACAAACATTGATGTTACCAACTACAAATTCCAGGCTTTCTTTTTGTGTTTAGCGATTTCTGACCTTGAGATAAGACACAGTAACAGGAGTATGTTGTTCTACTATGATTTTTTTTTTCACATGGCGATCTAGTCAGCTGTGATACAATGCCAACATCTCTGAAAACATGTTCCAGGAAAAAAAAAACTAATTATTTGCTGAATTATTTTTGTTATATAGAGCATTTGGTAGCCGTAGGCCTAACGCTAAAAGTACATTATATAATGCAATCTGTTAAATGGTTCATTGACAGATGTATTCAATGAAATTGTTTAGAAATGGAACTCAACCAGAGTGAGAAAACCCCCCAGAGCTTTTCATGACCTAGAAAAGCATAATGGCCATCCTACAGAAAGGGGTATAGTACAGCAATAAACACAATTAATAAAACTGGAGATTATTTGTAAAGTGTCACTGCTGAGGAATCACAGTCAAACCATGCAAGCAATTTTAAAATAATGACGAGGCACAAAAAATCCCTTTAAAAGTCAAATCTCCTCTTGTGGAGTAACCCAAAAACTCCTTATATCGCCCTACAGTGGTGAAATGGCCCTACAGTTGTTTAAGGATTTCCCACTTCGACAAGGTCATAGAGAAGGCGTGACCTACCTGCAGTAATTGAATTTGTAATGGCGAGGCTGTGGAGCAAAGTTGGGAATTCTAACGGCAATATCCCAAAAGTTGGTATCCTGAGGCTAAGAAACCAGAAAAAAATGTAGAATTTAAAGAAATATTAAGGTCTGGGCATTTTCTACCTTAATGCATTCTCTGCATTAAGGTAAAATTGCCTAGTACCTTTTGGACTCCCCCGTGCCCCACACTTACCTGTCAGCGCTGCAAGTCTCCGCAGCCAGTCCAAGCAGTGATCCTCCATCCCAAATTTCCTGGTTCTGGAGATTGAGGGCAGAGGAGCCTTAGGATCCTTCTGCCATCAATCAAGCTTTAATGCGGGGAGGAGGGGCTTGGCCTGCCGCAGGGCTGCGTGCGTCTATGGACAGCCACTGCGGAAACACGCACACAGGGTGTCACCATAGCGGCCTCTTAGCTGTTGGAGGCACCCATGCAGAGGGCAGGGAAGACACTGATGTGGGGACCCACTAGAAAACGAGGAATTTAAACATTAAAAAAAAAATAAGAACGGAACAGATTGGGGCATGATCTGTGCCTCCCTTATATATATTTTTAAAAAAAAGGAAGGTTTACCGTCACTTTAACTTGCCAGTAATACTGCTACAGTATATCAGTTCTGAGTGGAGGTGTCCTTTATTGAAAAAAACGTATTTTGTTATTATTATTGGTAAAATGTAGGAGTATATACACAATGTGACAAATACATGAACATGTTAAATGGAACACCCTCCCAACATGTTTTAGTGATAAAATGATTGCGTTCAATCCATGGCCAATATGCCCAAACCCTGTCCCCAGCTTGATCATGCCTGGTCAAATTCACAATCTACACTACACACAATCTACACACACAATCTACAATTTATTCAAATCAGAAATATCTCTTTGCAATAGGATCGGTTGATGTTACGGAATTCTAATTTACAGCCTACTGAGGTTGTAAAAATCTGTTCAATCATTGAATCATAGAAGAATATTGAAGGCAGAGGTTATCACAATAATTGGATCCCAGACTTTGTATTTGGATCTGCAGATTTGCAATACAGAATTAGGAATAAGGTCATCTACACCCTCATGACCCACAGTGCTGCAGGGTGTAATCGCCAACTTCTGAGTCCCTGTGGTTGTATTAAATGGTAACTGTCATAAAAAAGAAAGCTGCACTTTCACAGCCGGCAAAAATTTATGAAGAAGAAGGGAATATTTAGTGTTTCACCTGTAAACTGATGTGATGAACTGACATACTTTATTGATTATTTGCACATATATCCTAGGAATCAATCAACCAATGTACTTAGTAGTTGGTGCATTAAATTTTTTCATTTCATTGTCAGTGGAAACAGTTGTACAACTCTGTAAATGGCTGCTGGCTACTGAAATAATGAATTCCAAGGTCTTTAGAAGCAGTCTGGTTTGCTATGCACAGTGCCCTAACCAGAAACTGGTTAAGAACTGGACAGCAGTTATAAAAACCAGACTGTCCAGTTTTTAGCTATGTGCTTTCAACACTATTTTAGTACTGTGTTAATAAAAAGAAAGCTGTACATTCTACAGAAGAGAGAGGTTGACGGTAGACAGCAAAACATAAGAGTAAAGGTGTGTTTGTTACATATCTGCTCTCTTACCTCCCACTTGTAGTCGTGTATGTGGCCAGGTGACCATGGTCTGCCCAGCTATGCACTGTCTCTGTCATTCCATGCTCTTGGAACACGGGCTGTAGTTCTTTGATAATGAAATTTCCGTCAGCTAAAAAGGGACAAACAAACAGAATAATCATAAACAATTGTTCAGCATAAAAAATAAATACAGGGAGGTCAAAATTGGACGCAAAAGATCAATGTCTCAGTTTCCTTTCACACATAGCAGTATCGTTTTCAACCCAGTCTTCCGAACGAAACTGCACAAACTTTAACATACGCTCAGATTCTACACGTTTGCGGCTATTACTATAGCTGGAACATGCGGAAAATCGTGATTTAAATACTTTGCGGCACGCGCGGTTTTGTACCGCGCAGCCGCCGTAAAAGTCAGAACAATGCACATTAAAGTGCATTGTTTTTTTATGTTTAGAGCAATTCTGCACATATTTGTACGGCCGAATACGCGCAGACAACCCCTCCTGTGTGAATGAAGCCTTAACTTTATATCTTGTAGTTCTAGGTGGACACTTTGGGGCACATTTACCCCTTTGTGTTGTTGTCTGAGGTCAATGCATTTAAACAGGGGTCAATACACATTATATCCCACATTACCGCACCTCAATGCATTCTAACATGCCTTTGGATGCTCTTCCATTTAAAAGAGGCACCAAAAAGGAAATAAATGCTTCCACCCTCTTTACAGGTCGTAGTTTTCCTTTTTTTTTACTCATATATTTATAAGCATATCCATAAATACTGAGGAGCAGGGCTTTTCATCAAAATAATGTTGAGAAGAGAGGAAAACATATGTAAGTACTCAGTATATGGGGATAACCGAGTAAAAATTAAACTAGAAATCCTGAACTAGGAAGAGAATAAAATGCAGAACCTTGTGTTTTTTTTAATTATAAATCGATGACATACTGACAGTTTTTTTTTAAATTGATGATGTATCGTAACTATATTTCACATCTAACTTTAAATGTCGAAATAGAAGGTTTGATTCCTCTGGTGATGACAGAAGGCAAATTCTCTTAACTGCATATAAGTGAAAGCGGTGAGACGAATTCTTATTAGAAGTTGAAGCTGGAACACTCCCAGACCCTCAGGAAAAAGAAGAATTACCAAGGTCTTCTATTTATCTTTTCATGAATCATCCAGTATTAAACCAAGAATATGCCCAGAAAAGAAAAAACATTCCATGATTCAAAAATGAAGAGCAACCTTTCCAATCACCCTACAAAATCCATAATCTTTCACAAATGAGCCAAATACACGTTCCATCAACATACAATTAGATCTGTGTTTCTCAACCTTTTTTGAGTCACGCCACACTTTTAAACTATGCAAAATCTCAAGGTACCCCAGTCTAAGGGCCCATTCACACATCCTTGTCACGTTTGTACACGTTTTGCCACATTTACAGTAATAACAGGGCATTTACAGTAATAACAGGGCACAAAGAAAACATTTGTCGTGTGCAAGAAAGTGCAGCTCAAAGGACATGCCGTGAACAAGCCCTAAAAGTCAGCATGTGATTCAACATGGCAGCAAACAAACAACGCTAAAATATTTTTGGAAGGAGCAGCCACAACTTCTAACGCAAGCTGAGGTAACTAAATGTAGCATTTGAAAATTCATAAAAAGTATATTAAATCCACAGTTTATGGTAACAATCAGAGTCACTTCCAATGACTTATACTAAAATAAATGATATCTGGGTCACCCAGAAAAGTAGGGACCACTGACCATCAAACCCTAAAAAGGAAAACTGCCCTGCCATCCACAAAATTAAAATATATACATACAAAGCAGTTCCTCTGATGTCCACTAGAGAGTTCACAGTCCATGAGACTGAGCTCGAACCCGATGATGTCATCTGTCGCTAAAGACGGTGTTGCAGTTTAGGTAGGTAGCATCTACAGCGATAGATGACATCATCTGTTGCTAAAACTCAGTTGGGTGCCTTGTGGAACCGATGCAGGGACACCCACAGCCTATAGAAAAAGTAATTTTTGGCAGCTTCTTGCTCTGGGACCCCTGGCACACTCTGGTTGAGAATCACTGAATTTGATCATATTTCCCACATTGATACTTTTTTTTTATATACATGGGTGTCAGACTCAAAAGTAAGTGAATAGGGATATATGGCTTTGGCTTGTTTCGGATTAACTGATGAGTTGTTTTAAGCTGCTCTTGCACTATGTCAGCTGCTTCTAGCTGCTCTTGAGTTGCTTCAAGCTGATGATTGTATTCACATTAACTTGTACGTGAGGAGCAGTCTCTAAGGCACATGAAATGATTGTTATGTGTTTAGCAGATTTTTCAATAAGCTGCAACTGGAACCTTCTTAGCAGATCAAACAAATTAGCTGGAAAACGTCTTGCTTTTGCAGATCAATTAGTTGCTTGTTTTTTTTGTGCATGATGTATGTGTATATTATTATTTAGGACTTTGGTGTTCAGGGGCTCAATGACTATGGTGATTAAAAATAACTTTTTTTGGTAAGGTGTTTTAAATGGAAACGTGTAATAAGACAAAAGCAGGGGGCAGCCACTGCTCATCTGATGGCTGGCTGGCAGGCAGTCATGCTGACCCAATTGGCTTCTGGAACAAGTATGTACATCAAGAGCTGTGACTTCACTGGCTGCATACTAGTCTCAGGTGAGTGACTCAAACAGGAAACAAGTATTTTCAAAAGGGGTTTAGGAAGGGTAGCCAGTTTATCTCTAATAGGACAGTTTTATTTTAGATAATAAGATAAGAGATAATAAAAGGAAATTAAGAAAAAAAAAACATTGCACGAATGTGGCAGTATAAAAGATACACTATATGATCAATAGTGTGCGGACACCCCTCAAATGACAATGTTCAAGGGTTCTGCCATGGCCACTGTTGCCATGCATACATTTAATTGCATAGCTCTGCAATCTCTACTGACAAACACTGGAGGTAGAATAGGTTGTACCGAAAAATGTAGAGACCTTAAACATGGCATTGCCATAAGATGCGACCTTTGCCACAAGTCAATACGAGAAATTGTAAGTGATATTATTGTGAAGTAAAAGCACATGAGAGCCGCTATGGCTCAACCACAAAGTAGTAGGTGAGGCAAACTCACAGAGCAGGGCTGTCGAGTCCTGAAGCACACAGTATAATAATGCAAGGCATATTCTCTGTTGCATCTCGCAAACTGCTTTTAGAAGCAACATCACCACTAGAACGGTGTGCTGGGAGCTTTTTGGCCATATGGTTTTTAAATGATCTTAAAGAATTCAAAACCAATTGTGCTGTGTGTGGCCAGTAAAACCAAAGTGTAGAAAAGGGCACGGCACTCCTTTGAAGATCTGCCCAGCCTTACTTTGTCCCAGAATTGGCAACAACCACTATGAATCTCTTCCAAAATACAATGTATAACAAGACTTAACTTGCTTAAGAGAACTTGAAAACGAGTAAATACGAGGCTCAGACCAGTCACTGGTAAATCTGGAGGCAAGTGTTAGTAGGCAGTTCGGAAACTCTGTGGGATAGCACAATGTATTGTATTTTTTCCCATTTCGGCAATAATTAACATGGAATATTGTGATCTACAGTTCTGCATTGAATTGTGCCAGCTAACACTCAACGGTGTAAAAGAAAGAATCATTCTCAATATGGCACAGTGTACCAGAACCTTTGAATAAAACCTCACTTGCAAGCAGGACAGTCTACCAGCTTCTTCAAACCACCACATCATTCTGTATATATACACAAGGAAAAGAGATAAAGAGCACTATGTCCTGAAAATGCCTTCCTTTGCTTATCTGTCCAGAGTACTGTAAGCTTTGTGAGACGTTTTAAATACCTGTAAGTGTTAGACCAAAACATTACTTTGCACCTTAGGTTAAACTTATAAAAAAATGTACATTTAAAAAATAAAAAACTCCAATACCACTTTGTTACTGTTTAAAGAAAATGTTCTCCCTTTCCTGCATACTGTGCACCAGGACCTACTGAAACTCTATAAATTTGAATTGACCTGAACTGGAAGGCTTGCAGCTTTCAAAATTATGGTCCTTCCATGCTTGCGTACGTATTTCGTACTCTACCCATTCCTATTAGTAATTCATATGTAGATACACTTAGATCCATTCATTTTCAATATATCTGGCAAAATAAAAAAGCCTGTTGTTCGTTTAACCAATTCATTAAGCATAGATGTGCTGGAGGTATGGGTTTAACTGATCTACGAGACTATTATGTTGCGTCCATGATTGGTTCTAACCCTCCCCTAATGTCTTGTGGTTTTGTGTTAAGGAATCTCTAGTGCCTAAACAGAATTTATTATGTTATCTAATGGCTTCTAACTACTCCAAAAATCCTGCTGTGGACATCTCTCCAACTATTGTAGCAACAATTTTTGCATGGAAATGCATGTGCAACTCTAACAATAAACCGGGACTTAAAGTTAAGATTCCAATTCCCATCACAGTGTGTGAAATTCTCATACCAACCTATCCTTGAGATCTTGGTCCTTACAAGGGATCTCTTTGCTGCCTGATCTCTACAGAAGCAATACTCTATGTCCATTTAATGAGTTAGCAAACATATACTTCGCATCACAAGGAGAATATTTTCGATACTTACAAATTAAACATTTGTTTCACTATGGAATTACAGGTTCCCGATACCATATGGTCCTTTTACCATCGTTTATCCTATCCTGAGAAAGGTATTTTGTTAATCTATAATACCCTCCAAGATAAACTGCTTTTTGTTCAGACATCACCCTTCGTTAAGTAGCAACAAGACTTGAATAAGACCTATACTTTACCACAATGGAGCAAGGCTCTAAAATACAGTATGTCATCTACGTCACACTGCGTTAATTTATGGGAATTATCTCTGAAGCGGACATTAAGGTGGTACTTAACTCCTTATTGATTGGCACACTTTTTTGCTAACAGCTCTATCCAATGTTTGGGACACTGTGGTCAGGTTGGGACTCTATATAGGGGTTTGTATTTAAGTAAATGTGGATACATTTTATTGCGGTATGTTATACTGCATGTGAAGTAGTACTGGATGCTTATAATTCATGTGGTATTTTCCCCCATATACCAAGAC